AAATTATTTTCAAATGGAGCGGGTAAGATAGAGGGCGTAGCTAATAAGAAGTACTAAATTTATAAAAACCAAATACTGAAATTATCATTCATGGTACTTCCACCATTAATTTCCAACTCATTTTGTTTTTCTCCCAAATAGTTTAATTCTTATCCTAGTTTGCACGTCTTATGAATTGGATATATGTTAAAAGTTACACGAAACTGACAAGTAAAAATTTTCAGTTACAGGAACCATTCTGTCCCTTTCATGATCAGAATAAAAAAACCACTTACGTTTATTGACTTCAAGTCCCTCGTCAATGGCAACAAAAACAGTGAGACATATTTTAAAAAATAACAATTACTTTGAGGCATATTTTAACTAAAAAAATTTATTATTTTAAGATAAAAAAATAATTTTTAAAAAAAGTACAGTTTTGCAAATTTGAGTTAGAAAGAGGGGCAAACTTGACTTTACGAGTTCCTAATTTATAATTTTTGGACTATTCTGGAATTGCGTTTGTAACCCGTCAGAAAATTTTATTACTATTTTCTTGAAACAACCTTGATTATTATAATAATATTTTATTTAGAAAAAAGAAATTAAAAAGGCAAGAGCTATAGGATAAGCTGATCATGCCGATGGGTGGGTGTTGAATTATTGGCCAAGGGCAAAAACAATGCAGTGAGGCCAACTGCGGGCCCAATTGTTACTGATACAGGAAAATGATAATAAAACTACACAGAAGTTAAAATTTTCTGTTGCAAGGACTAATTTGCCCCTGTCATGACCAAAATCATCTTCGTTCCCCTGCTTTTCAATTTGGTGAGGTTTCGAAGACACCTTCCTGCATTGACTTCAAGTCAATTCTTATTTTAAAATTAAAAGATAAAAAACATTTTTATTTTTTGTTTTTCAGGGAGCCGAATTTGACTAATGGGATTGCGCTTTGGTTTCCAAAAGTAAACAGCAGTTTCCTTTCGATAGAAAGGAAACCCAAAAGGAAAAGCAGTGGGACAGACAGGAACAGGATCATAATATAAAGGTTAAAATCCCTTTTTGGTCCTCAAACTATTATATAGATCTCCGATTTAGTCCTTAAACTAAAAAAATCCCTGATTTGATCTTTACTGTTTACCCATTTTACCCCAACTTGGTCCTTCTGTTAAAAATATAATGACGTGTCCCGTTAATTAATCGAGTATGATGATATGTCAAAATATTATGACACGTCAACTGTACACATGGACATGTCATAAAAACGTCAGATTCTGGGCCAACAAAAAAAAAAGTGGGGCCCATCTCTTGTCCCCCAAACTCACTATCTTCTCCCCCTTCTTCCCCTTTGAACCCTAGAAGAGTTGTACCAGCAGTCTAGTCTCCATTGGGTTCCTTCGAGAACCCAGCCGTTGGGTTTCGTTGGAACCCAAGAGCTGGGTTCTTTCGAGAACCCTTGGGTTCCTTCTCGAACCCAGGCGTTGGGTTCTCGAAAGAACCCCGGTGCTGGGTTTCTTCTCGAACCCAGGCGGCTGGGTTCCTTCAAGAACCCAAGCGCTGGGTTCGTTGGAACCTAGGCCTTGGGAAGAACCTAGGCGCTGGATTAGTTGGAACCCAGGTGCTGGGTTTCTTCTCGAATCTAGGCGCTTGGGTTCCTTCGAGATCCCAAGAGTTGGGTTCGTTCGAATCCAGGGGCAAAAAAATTT